ATAAAGACAATCTTTAAAGAACAATTTGACCAAGAGGGGAGATGCCTTGGTCTGACATATGACGTCACTATGATATACCACCAGCAGTTCAAAACAACAGGGTCATGAACAAACTCTAAAACCTGGAACAACAGAGGCTTGTCATGATCCCAGCACTTGGGGCGGTGAGGCAGGAGGATGGAGAATTCCAGGGTAGCCTGGGCTACATAAAGGAGTAGCAGTGGTGCTCAATCTTTAAAAAATAAAATAAAATAAAATAAAATAAAAACAAAGCCACGAGCCATGGGATTTAAGCCCACCCAGAACTCAACTGTATCTCTTGGTCACGCCCGAGTCACTTTTCTCCAGAACCTTCACTAGCTCTCTAGTACTGGCTGCTCTTGAAACGCAAGGAAGTTGGCAGCCAGGTTTGCCGTTTCCATTACTCATGGTCTCTTCTGTGCGCAGTGATTTTAAACATGAAAGTAACCGGAGACAAACAAAGGGTCTTGTTAGAAAGACTATCTTTCAAAACCAATATACCCCATAAGCCTTTGAAAGTCAAGAGGCAGAACAGGGGGCTCCTAGTGGTGTTCTTGGGTTCGGACGCCAACTCCCCCTATGCCCCGCTACAACCCCCACCCCCGCCGTCCCGCCCTCCCTCCGGCCCCAGGGTCTCCTTTCATCCTCTGATTCCTACGCCCACTTCCCTGGGGGAGCCCTAGATCTACCCTTGGAGGAGTCCATGGAGGATATGGGCCAGATCAGCGCACCAACTGGCAGCCGAATGCCAGAATGCAAAGCGAAAGCAAGGGCGTTTACCGCCGCCTGCAAGGCTTGGTCCAGGGTTGCCACGACAACCCGCGACTTCCTGCGGGCTGGCGTGCTCGTCCCTGCACCCGGGCTCTGTGGCCTGGGTTGAGGATGGGGTCTCAGCCCTAAGGGCTGCAGAACCTCCTGATTTTGTTTTAGCTTGTGGCTCTTTTCCAAGGAACTGTCATCGCTACTCCCGAAACCTCTGGTGGCCGTGAACGATGCATCCGCCAAAGGCTTGCAGATGCGGGTTTAGAATTGGCCCTGATTAGGCAGGACTCACCCACCATCTACAGCGCCTTTTTCTGGGCCAGGCTCCCTGCTAGATGCTATCTTCCCTCAACAGCCAGCTGCGTTTTTCAAAATAGAAAACTGACTTTGGGTAAAGGCTCATTCAAGGTCACCCAGAAAACGGATTCACGCCCAAGTTTCAACCTTACAAATCTACCGTTCTTTCCATGGCATAGGTTGCAATTTATCTTTCTTACCCTTTCCCTAGTACATCTTGCATAGAAAATTGTTGGTTTGGGGATTTTTTTTTCTCCAACTCAAGCTTAGTCTCTAAATTTGCATTGAGACCTAGTTTCTCATATGGTTAACTGGAAAAAATACAAATGTTTTAATTAATTTCAACACTCATATTTGTGCTTGTGCTGTATGCATGCGTGTGCACATGGGTGTGTGAGGCACACTGGCCTGTGCACGTGCATGGGGCATCCAGAGGTTAATGCCATCAGTTAGTTGTCTCCATTGCTCTCCACCTTGTTTTTTGAAACAGGGCTTCTCATTGAACCTGGAGCTCTCACTGTTACAGCCCCAGGAGCCCCAGGAGCCCCAGGAGCCCCAGGGGAATCCACTCATCTCTGCTTCACAAGGCCCTTAGTGGATGCTGGGGATCCGAACTCAGGTCCTCACACTTGTACAGCAAGCACTTACTCACTGAGCCATCTCCACAGAGGATTTTATTTTAAATTATTTCATTGACTATCGAATAAAAAACAGAGAAACGGTGGAAATCTTGAAACTGAGCCAGCCAAACTTTACATAGATGGGGAGTGCTCTCCAGGCCACACCCCTTACTGAGGAGCTGTCCAGTTTATGATAGTCCCTAGGGTTATAGAAAAGACAGACTCTAGCAGGGCAGGGCATGATGGCTCAGGCCTTTAATTCCAGCACTTGGGAGGCAGAGGCAAGTGGATCTCTGTGGGGCCAGCCTGGTCTGCAAAGTGAGTAACAGGACAGCCAGGGCTGTTACAAAGAGAAACCCTGTCTTGAAAATCAAACAAACAAACAAAAAGACTGACCCTCTTATTAGAGGGTGTCAGAAATGTTGCCAGTGTTTGCCTGCAGGTTGGTTGCCCGACTGATGCCTCAGTGCCACACTCTGTCATCAATGGGTACAAGCGGGTTCTGGATTTGTCTGTGGAGACTGAGTCCACCTTCCCACTTGCTGAAAAGGTCAAGGCCTTCTTGGCTGATCCATCTGCATTGGTGGCTGCTGCCCCTTTGGCCACCACGGCAGCTCCTGCTGCTGCTGCAGCCCCAGCCAAAGCTGAAGCCAAGGAAGAGTCGGGGGAATCAGACGAGGATGTGGGATTTGGTCTTTGACTGATTCCCCTCAAAGCCACCAATTCAACCATCTTAATCTGAGGTAGACAGAAATAAAAGCTTACTTCTGTTAAAATAAATAAATAAATAAATAGGACTGAAGGGCCACCTGTGAGTTCAAACACGGTTGAAGGATTGTCAGTTTCACAGGAATGGATTTCAAGAAATGTTAGCATTTACTAAAACGCTAGAATTCCTAGCAGGGTCCCCGGCAAAGTGAAAGGCACGTGAGGCAAAGCATTGTTAGGCACTGGCAATTACAGTTGTCCATCAGTGGTAAGTCTTTACTCAGCATCCCTCTCATTGTGATTTCTTCTTCTTTAAAAAAGCTAAGATGTTAGAGCCAGGGTGGCTTGACTCTTATTTTATTTTATCGAGAGAGGGTATCACTATGTAGCCACAGCTAGCCTGGAACTCTCTATGTAGACGCACTGGCCTCGAATTCAGATTTGCCTGCCCCTGCCTCTGTGTCCTGAGTGCTGAGATGAAGTGGTTTGCTTCTCCACTGACATGTGTTAGGTCTCTTCCAGGAGCCCTGACAGCATGATAGGACTGTCCTCCACACAGTCAGGCCGACTGCCCTTATGCTGGCAGTAGCCACGCTGACACTCCCAGGACTTGAGGAAGTTACATAGCTACCCAACAACTAGAGCAGCTTGCTGCTGGAGCTCTCTGGCTCTTGGAGGTGCAGCCCCACCCATGAGTGCTTCAAACAGCTTGCATTGAATTCATTGTCATAAAAAGCTATGGTAAACTCTAAATGATCTTGCCCTTCCCACCCAAACCAGAAGAGGAAGACTTTCCTGGCAGCCCAGCAGAAAACCTGTAACTGATGCAAGCCTAGTCATTCATTTGCATGAAAGTCCTCTGTGACTGGTGCAAACATCCTTTCTCCGTCTGTGTAAGCCAGTCAGCTCCTTTTGTGAACAGATGAGTGGAGACCTCTTCTTGCTGCCCCTTGGTAGGCCCAATAAAAAGGCTTGTTTCTCTCAATAAAAGGCTTGTTTCTCTCAAGTGATCTTTTCATGGTGTGTGTGGAGGGTGGGCATGTGTGCATATAATGGAAATGGCAATGTTCTCTTCAGTCACTCTCAACCTTATTTTCTTTTGCTTTTGTATTTGGTTTTGCTTTTTGTTTTTGTTTTTTGTGTTTTTGTTTGTTTGTTTGTTTGTTTTTGAGACAGGGTTTCTATGTGTAGCCCTTCCATCCTCACTCTGTAGACCAGGCTGGCCTCAAACTCACAGAGATCCACCTGCCTCTGCCTCCCGAGTGCTGGGATTAAAGGCGTGCGCCACCACCACCTGGCTTTCCAGGTTATGTTTTGATAGAAGGTCTCTCATTAAATAGTTTACCTCTTCAGCCAGCAAACCCCAGGGATCCATTCATCTCTGCCTCCCTAGTGCCGGGATCACATTCCTCCAGGCTTTTTAAGATGGGTTCTGAGGATCAAACATGGCTTGCAAGCTCTTCACAGACTGAGCCATCTCCCTAGGCCTTTTTTTTTTTAATTTTTTAATGATTCCTTTATTCTTAGATGCATTGGTGTTTTGCCCTCATGTATATCTGTGTGAGGATTTCAGATCCCCTGGAACTAGAATCACAGACAGTTGTGAGCTGCCGTGTGGGTGCTGGGAATTGAACCCAGGTCCTCTGGAAGAACAACCAGTGCTCTTAACCACTCAGCCATCTTTTCGGCCCCTTGTCTTCTCTTTTCACCACACCTCCCAAGGCCTTCTTGCCTCCTCCCTTAGTACAATGGACTCATCTAGTAACAGGGAGAAGGAAGACTATAAGGTGAGCAGGCAGCAGTGGGGTTAACGGCAGTAGATCAAGAAAGCGGGAGTTTCAGAGAGCTTCCGCGCCTAAGAGCCAAGTTTCCAAAGAGCTGTGGAGAGCTAAGATTCCAACAGCCTCCTTTAATCCCAGCACTTGGGAGGTAGAAGCAGTCGGATCTCTGTGAGTTCAAGACCAGCCTGGTCTACAAGAGCTAGTTCCAGGACAGCCTCCAAAGCCACAGAGAAACCCTACCTGGGGGGCGGGGGAGGGGGGATTCCAACATCGTAAACACAACACGAATGACATGGGTTGCTGCATGAGTCAAGGTCCTACCTAGAATCTGAGACCTGTCAAGAACTGTAACCCTAGAAGGTGCCATCTGCTGCGGCTTCAGTCTGCTTCCACTCCTGCCAGCAGTGGAGGATTCCAAAAACCACTAAGCGCTGGGCCGCTTCTAAAGGACTTAGAACTCTACATCTCTGGGGCTTGGGCACTCGGCTCAGTTTGCCAAGACCAGAAGATCTTCTCCTCAACACCCTGTGATTCCTATAGGGCTCCTGCCATCTGACAGGGGACAGAGAGAGGAACTGCCTGAAGCCTGCATCCCTGGCCTTCAGTCTTCAGGACCTGGCTTGTCAGTTCAGGGACCTGGAGTGTGGCTCCAGGCCGGGAAGCGGGAGCTGCGGGCAACACGCACAGCTGCAGACGCTGGGCCGGGAGAGCAGCTGGTCTTTTGTTCCCCACATCTCCTGCAATCCCACCCCAGCAGTGGAAATTAGGTGTCTAGGGATAAAAGAAAGCCAGCAGCCGAAGAGAAAGATACCAGATAAACTCTCCCTCTTCTCTCGTGGGTCTTGGCAAAGCAGGAAGTGATGCTGTGAAAAGAAACTTGAGTCAGGAATTATCTGATGGCCGAGGAGTCGCATGCATTGGTAAGAAGGCCGTGTGTTCGTTCAGGCCCAAGAGCTAAGTTGACGGTTGGAGGTCCAGCTGCACTGGCAAAACACTTAGAAGAAGCCTTTCTTCTTCAATGTCAGAAAAAGGTCACCCACCGCAAATCATTGCTGCGCCCGTTTGTACCATCAGTGTCCACCAGAGGGCAGTATAATCCCGGGTATGGAGAAGAAGATGCTGGCTCCTCTTTCACAGCTGAGGCCTTAGGAGTTGGAGTGGGGTGTCTTAGGGACCTGGGAAATAATAGTTGAATGATTATTGATACATAGTCTGCTGAACCTTCAGTGGCAGGCTGAGTTACAAAATGGGGTGAGAAAGTATGAGTGTCCCCAAATGCGGCCTCCACATCTACAGTGGAGGATAATTAATCTCCACATTTAGTATCAACTCAGGTTGGGACCCATAACCACTTAGCTTCTGTGTTCCAAGGGCAGTTCTCAGTGCAGAGACTCAAAGGTGAATAAAACAGTCTTGGGAGCTGGTGATATGGTTCAGGCTGTAAAGTGTTTGCTCCCTAAGTGGAAGGACCTGAGTTCAATTCCCAGAACCCACATAAAAGAACCAGACCTGGGGCTGGAGAGATGGCTCAGAGGTTAAGAGCACCGATTGCTATTCCAGAGGTCCTGAGTTCAATTCCCAGCAACCACACGGTGGCTCACAACCATCCGTTATGAGATCTGGTCCCTCTTCTGGTGTGCAGATATACATGGAAGCAGAATGTTGTATACATAATAAATAAATAAAATCTTTTATAAAAAAAGTATAAATAATGTTATTCAGGCTGTCAATCAGCCAGCACTGTGAAAACCAACACAGTAACATGATACCTGATGCTGACTCCTGCAAAATACTCCAGGAGCCTGCTCCCTACCTGTGAGGCAGAATGTGAGCAGTGCCTCCCCCAGCAGGGTTCACAACCTCAGCTATCCCCTAACCTGCGCAGCAGGACTTTGAGGAGGGACGCTAGATTCTCAAAGACTGAATATGATCTGTCAGGGTACACCCTGCCCACACCCCTTGCCCCCATTTTCATTTCCTCAGTAGACAAGTATGTTTGAACATTTGGTCTCCAACTAATAGTGCTGTTTGGGAAAGCCTCACTGAGGGTGAGGCTTGAAGTCCTATGGCCCCACTTCCTGCTCTCTGCTCTCTCTGACTCAGCAGTAATATGATTAACCCCCTCATGCTCCTGCTATTATGGGTGCCCACCAGAATAGAGCACTCAGACACAGTCTATAGTCAATTGAAAGTCTTTATTCCAGCCAGTGGAACTACACTCAAGTTATTTGGGACCCAAGTGTTTAGAGTAAGTGTAGTCAGAAATTTTTTAGGGGCCATAGGCTCTCCAATAATGACAGAGACTTCTTATTAATTATGAAAGCTTAGCTGGTAGCTTAGGCTTGCTTCTGAATAGCTCATAACTTAAATTAACCCATTTTTATCAATTTACTTTCTGCCTCGTGGCTCTATGACCTCATCTCCGTATCGTCCCCTGGCATCTCCCTTTCTTCTTCCCAGTGTCCTCTCTGCGATGAAAATCCCGCCTAGCTACTGACCATTCAGCTTTTTATTAAACCAATCCAAATGACATTATCTTCACAGTATACAAAAAGATTATTCCACACATTTCTCCCTTTTGTCTAAATAAAAATGAAAGGTTTTAACTCTAACATAGTAAAACTATATACAATAAGAACAATTATCAAGTATTGTCTAAATAGAAAGGAATTCACTTTAACAAATGAAACTATATACAATAAGAACAATTATCAAGTAAGAATTACATTCACAATGCCCAGTCCATTTGTATTTGGCAAATACAGAGAAAATATTCAATTAACTATCCTTTCTTGATGAGTCCAGAATTTTGTACCTAATTTACATTCTATCGTGACTAAGGAAAACTCTATAACTGTCTAGTCTTCAACACCATCAAAGACACCAGAAGGATATGTTACCTGAGTAAATAGGAAGTACAGAGCAAGCAACTTCTAAACTATAGAATTGACGGAGACATCTGGCTGCCTGGACAGTTAGTTACCCAAGGTTACTGTGCAATGTTGGGACATCCATTTTTAGCCTACAGACTTTTCTGTGAAGCAGGAATTTTCAAAGGACTATCTTACTCTGTCTTGGTAAAGTTCAACAATCACTTTCTTTTGTGTCCTTCTGGTCCAGTTTGGACAGCATACTGTCTGCAGTCTAGGCAAGGGCAGTTTCTTGCCCAAATGGCTAGTTTTTGCCACAATGAAAGCAAACTCCAGTTGGGCAGTGGTGGTGCACACCTTTAATCCCAGCACTCAGGAGGCAGAGGCAGGCAGAGCTCTGTGAGGTTGAGGCCAGCCTGGTCTACAGGGTGAGTTCCAGGACAGCCAAGGTACACAGAGGAAACCCTGTTTCAAAAAAACAAAAAGAAAGGAAGGAAGGAAGGAAGGAAGGAAGGAAGGAAGGAAGGAAGGAAGGAGAGAGGGAGGGAAAGAGGGAGGGAGGGAGGGAAAGAGCGAGAGCGAGAGAGAGAGAGAGAGAGAGAGAGAGAGAGAGAGAGAGAGAGAGAAAAAAGAAGGGAGGGAGGGAGGAAGGGAGGGAGGGGGGGGGAGGAAGGAAGGAAACTTCATATAGAGTTTCTTTGATGTCCACCATCCTTTCTTGAAGTAAATTGGTGGTACCAGGAACAGACATGTCTCACTGTCATGAAAAGCCGTAGGTTATTAAAACATTGTGTCATATTCTCTGAAGTGTTTGAAGACCAACTATCTATCTAAAATATATCTTTGTATGGCCTTGAAAACATACCTAACATGACTCTAAGTTTGATTGCTATAGACGACTAACTGTTAACCTGTCTTTCTTTATTATCCTAAATAGCTTTCAAGGACTAAAACTTTACATTACAATTTTAAAATGAGCTGTATAGGTACAATACCTTAAACAAGAACAGAAACATATATACACTATAACAAAAATAACTTTAAATTTATATCAATATACAAAATTTATATCAATATACAAAAATCCATACCAATGTAAAATATTTGAGACTAGTGGTTGTTCAAAAGTAGACTCAACAATCACTTTATCACATCATTCTGTATTATATCCCCCTTTTCTCTTCAGAGAGAGATCTCTGAATACAATCGCCTTTGCTTAGCTTTCTCCCTGACCCTTACCAGTAACAATTTATAACCAACTCCCTAAATGATGACAAACATCCATAACCCACTAAACATAAAAAAAAAAAAATGCCCAACCATCTCTTGGGAATGTGGGCATTGTGTTCTCTAGACTGCTTCCTATTGTCTGGCGATGCTAGAATCTTTGGGGTACCCTGAGAAAATTAGGTTAATGGTCAAGATCTGGGTAGAATAGTCTGTGAGGCTGGACCATCTCAGTCAGTAGCCTTGAAACTGCTGTTCTGGGTGCAGAACTCTGAGGAAACTGCAACAGAGGCATTCTGAGAGCAGCTGGGCCACCCATTTTCACTAGTCTCTGACCCCCTTGCTCTGAAAACACATTAACTTTCGAAGGTAACATACATGTCCGCATTAACACAAGTATGCTCTGTGCATTGTACACAAGTCAGCCAAAGATAATTTTTTTTGTTCTATGTTGAGCAGGTAAAATATACATCACCTGTCTTGTAGTTTTTCTAAGTTTATTTCTTTGTGACTGCAGCCAGGATTTCATGGGGTCTCCCCCTCCATCAAATCTGATCTCTAGCAACCTTGAATGGATCCACATCCTTTCGTTTTCTGTGGAAACAAAAGCATAACCTCTTGATAGGTGTAGATTAGATTGGGGAACAATTGTTCCCATTGGGGAACAATGTAGCATATTTTTTACTTTTGTTTTGAAGTTAAGGCATTTTAAAAATACATAGGTTGCTTTAATTTAGTAGTTTTCATAATCCAGTGTCTCTCAGCAGCTATTGTTTGCTTATCAGCAATCAAAAATTTAAAGTTAATACAAAGCATACAGGTTCCAGACTCCCCATGTATTTCCCAACTCTATGTGGCTTATTCTTTTTATATTATTTTATTTTCTCTTTAAAGACTTTATCTTATTATTTATAAACCATTTTTCTATGTCTATCTATACCCACTGTCTTTTCTTTTTTAAGCCTATACACATTTTTTTAAGCACACTGTAACCTTTTAGAGGTTTTTTCCATCTGGATCTGTCTTTACTACATATCTGCAACTATTTCTGTCTGCGTGAGAAAAACTTAAACCTCTACTTGGCTTAGCTTAGCACACGGTACTGGTGGCTGGCTCCAACACACAGGCAGTGGCCCATAGCTGCATCTCTGTATATGAGACTGCAGGACTAGGAAGCTATATCTGCTCTTTATCCAGAACTTGTTTTTGCACTTTCTCAGGCCTTTTGGCCTATGTTTGGATATTCAAGTCCCCACTTTGGATGCCATTTGTAGTCAGACTTTTTCAGTGGGGCTGTTAGCTGTCCAATAATGACACAGAGACTTCTTATTAATTATGAAAGCTCAGCTGATAGCTAAGGCATGTTTCTAACTAACTCTTACAACTTAAATTAACCCATTTATTTTTATTTTTATATATTTGAATTACAAACAAGATTGAATTACATACAATCCCAGTTCCCTTTTCCTTCCCTTCCTCCCCTACCACCCCCCAACTAAAATCCTACCTATCATCATCATTTCTTCTAATCTACACCTATCATATGTCCTTTCTTCTAATCTACACCTGTCATATGTCCTTTCTTCTAATCTATACCTATCATATGTCCTTTCTCCTAATCTACACAAATTAACCCATTTCTATTAATTTACTTTCTGCCTCGTGGCTCTTTTACCCCATCTCCGTACTGCCCATCCTGCTTGCTCTCTGCGTCCCCTGGCATCTCCCTTTCTTCTTCCCAGTGTCCTCTCTGCCATGAAAATCCTGCCTAGCTATTGGCCATTCAGCTGTTTTTGTTTTATGTTTTGTTCTGTTTTGGGTTTTTTTTGGTTTTTCGAGACAGGGTTTCTCTGTGGCTTTGGAAGCTGTTCTGGAACTAGCTCTTGTAGACCAGGCTGATCTCAAACTCAGAGATCCGCCTGCCTCTGCCTCCCGAGTGCTGGGATTAAAGGTGTGCGCCACCAATGCCCGGCAAGTAAGAGTTTTTTAAGGCAAGAAAACAAACAAAATCCACATCCTGACATCTTGTTCAGCAGTTGAACAGGGAGGTTTGCACAAGCAAACAATTTAACAGAAGCTAAGGAAAGTTAGCTGGGGCATCTTGGCCTCTGGTTCCTAGAACAGAGCTGGGCAATTTTCCACAGGGCTTCCCATCAAGGAGATCAGATCCTACTTAAGTCTAAATGGCCTCCACAAGAATACAAGATAGAAGAACCTCTGTTCTTTTGTTTGTTTTTGTTTTTGTTTTCCAGACAGGGTTTCTCTGTATTGGTTTGGAGCCTGTCCTGGAATCGCTCTGTAGACCAGGTTGGCCTTGAACTCACAAAGATCTATCTGCCTGTGCCTCCCGAATGGGATTAAAGGTGTGTGCCAACGCCCGGTGGAAACTCTGTATTGTCTTACCCTGTCACACTGACATCTTGACTTCCCCTGCAAAGATGGATGAACCTGTATCTAAAATAAATCCCTCCTCTCTAAAGTCAATTCTTGTCAGATATTTGGTCACAGCAAAAAGACAAGTCCCTAGTCCAGCCTGCTTGCCTCTCTGCTGACCTTTGAACCAGAACCAAGGACAACAAGCCTGGGTAGAGTTGGCTTTAGAAAGGCGGTGAGGAAGATTCCTTCTTAGGACAGATGGGTCTCTGCACACAAAATCTAAGAAGAAATGCTAAGCGGGTTGGACAGGGACCTCAGTGTGGGATAAGCCCCACCTGAAAATAAGAGTGCAAAGCTGAACCACAGCAAAGCCCAAGAGAGGAGGGAAAGCAACACGCTGGTGCAAAGGTATCAGTTCAGCTAACAATGCTCCAGCTCATGCTGTGACTAAAGGTCACAGGCACAAGTACAGCAGAGTGAGTGGTCACCCAGCCACCCTGAAAGAGTGACTGTGCCCATAGCCCAAGCTGGTGGTAGGGTGGGATGGCCTGCTGAGCCCTGTGGTTCAATCCCCAGGGCCAACTTTGCTTGTTTGTTTTTGTTTTTCAAGACAAGGTTTCCCTGTGTAGCATCATTAGCTGTTCTATAACTTGCTCTGTAGACCAGGCCAGCCTCTACCTGCCAAGACTGGGATCAAAGGTGTGTGCCACCACGCCTGGCCTTGTTTTCGTTTTTTTTTTTTTTTTTTTTTTTTTTTTTTAAAAAGAATATACCCATATGCTCATTAGGTAATTACAAATAAATTCCCAATGGTTGGTGGTGGTATACGCCTTTGATCCCAGCACTAGGGAGGCAGAGGCAGGCGGATCTCTGTGAGTTTGAGGCCAGCCTGGTCTACAGAGCTAATTCCAGGACAGACTATTACACTAAGAAACCCTGTCTCTAAAAACAAACAAACAAACAAAAAAGACAGTTTCCCTGAGAAAAGAGTAAACTAAGGCCAGCAGATTGGCCAGTGAGAAGCTGAGGAAACAAAGTGGGGGAGACAGGTGCAATGTTCACAAATGACTGTGTGTGTGTGTGTGTGTGTGTGTGTGTGTGTGTGTGTGTGTGTGTGTGTGTGTGCGTGTGTGGTGGGTTGTGTGTGTGTGTGTGGTGTGTGTGTGTGTGGGTGTGTGTGTGTGTGTGTGTGTGTGTGTGTGTGTGGTGTGTAAAATGAAGGGACCAGACCCTCACCCAGCCCCTTGCTTTAGCAGCCATGACAGGCTGCAGAAAAGACCCAGCAAGATGTGCTGAGCTTCCTGACCTTGCCTGACCCCCTAGTCACTAGCAGGTCAGATACCCTCCATGTGGTAAGGAACCAATCAAAAGTTAGCTGGTGGGCTCTGGACAACAGCCTTGGGAGGGCCTATAGGCCATAGCAATCAGTTAACTAATCAACACAGAACAGGTCACCCAAGCCCGGAAGTGCACCAATCCTGGGACCGTTGCATACCCCTAGACACTACCTTTACACAATCCAATAAATTCCCTGCCTCGAAGCCCCTTCAGGTCCTTCTCACACCAATCTCTGTGTTGGACTGATAAGGGATTCGAGTTAAGACAGTTAACTCGTTAAATAATAAGACTTTGCTTTTGCATCGGAATGGGTCTCTTGGTAATTTTGGGGCTCAGCATTTTGGCACAACAGTGTGTGCATCATTTTCTGCTACTTAGCCCCTGATGGAGTTGCACCATCAACCATCACTTCCTGTTTGCCACACACACACACACACCAGCATTTACTTCACTTACTCTTTTACTTCTGGCCCCTGTCATTTGTTCTGTGTATTAGTCAGCTCTGGCCACAAGAACGTTGCGTAACAAACTTCTCCCAAACTCAGCTGCCTACAGCAGCCAGCATGGGGTTTTCTCATTCATGCGTCTGGAGATCGGTGGTACCAGTCAGCTTCAGGCTAAAGGCAGCCCGGATGCTGGGTGCAGCTCAAACTCAGGATCTCTCCCTGGGTTTGTTTCGCTGTCCTGGGAACAGCGGCTGCCCGAGTAAGGGTGTTCTCGTGTCAGATGGCAAAGGCAGGAGGCCAGTAAAACAGAATGACTAATGATTTAAACTTTCTGAAAATGTCACATTGTCACTTCCCTCTGAGCTGTTACTCGGAGTCACAGGGAAAAGCCCAAGTTGGGGGGGTTGAGAACATAGATTCCATCTGAGGCAGGGCAGAAAGAGGAAAATTAAGAGGATGTGAAAGGGGGAAAGGAGTCTGGCTGGAGCCTCTCACAGTCTGGGCATCAACTCCAACATAGACACAGTATTTCTTTTTTAATTAATGTATTATGTGTGTGCACGAATTCGAGTGCCTGCACCCATAAGAGTCAGAAGAGGGCAGCAGATCCCTTGGAACTGGAGTCATGGGCTGTTGTGAGCCATCTCTCACCCCCCATCCCCATATGGATGCTTGGAACAGAACTCCTGTCGTCTGGAGGAGTAGTAAACACTCATAACCGCTGAACCATCTTTCCAGTTATAGGGACTTTCTTCTGATTTTTGTTTGTTTGTTTGTTATTTTTGAGACAGGGTTTCTCTGTGTAGCCCTGGCTGTCCTGGAACTTGCTCTGTAGACCATGCTAGCTTCAAACTCAGAGATTCTGCCTCCCAAGCATTGAGATTAAAGTACCACCACACCTGGTCTGACAGTATTTTTTTTTTTTTTTTTTTTTTTGTTTTTTGGGGACGGGGTTTCCTTGTGTGGCTTTGGAGCCTATCCTGGAACTCGCTCTTGTAGACCAGACTGGTCTCAAACTCACAGAGATCCACCTGCCTCTGCCTCCAGAGTACCACCGCCTGGCAGTATTTTTTTAATATTTATTTATTTATTATGTATACAGTGTTCTGCCCAGGCCAGAAGAGGTCGCATTACAGATGGTTGTGAGCCACCATGTGGTTGCTGGGAATTGAACTCAGGACCTCTGGAAGAGCAGCCAGTGCTTTTAACTTCTGAGCCATTTCTCCAGCTCCCAGTATTTTTTTTAAGAATGCAAAAATAGCCAGTCGGTGGTGGCACATGCCTTTAATCCCAGCACTCACGAGGCAGAGGCAGATGGATCTCTGTGAGTTTGGGGCCAGCCTTCAGAGTGAGTGGCAGGACAGGCTCCAAAGCTGCAGAGAAACCCTGTCTCAAACAAGCAACAACAACAAAAAGAATGTAAAAATAACAATAAATCAGGAGTAAAACCTATGTGTTTGCAGTCTCAAGTATGCCCTCCCTCCTCCACAGAGTTCTCTGGTATCTCACAAACAAGATTATCTGTAGCACAAATTCTAATTGGTCTTAATAATAAAATCCTGCAGCCAGATATGGGGCAAATGCTAGAAGATCAGAGAGAGAAAGAGCAAGCCACAGGCAGCTCTTAATGTTGTTAACTCCTCAGCCCAAAGAGACGAGTTTCTGTCTCCTCCCACCTTATATTCCTCTCTCCTCCCAGCCATATCACTTCCTGTCTGTCTGTATCTATGGTTAGCTAGTGGCCAGCTCCACCCTCTGGCCTTCAGGCAAGCTTTATTTGTTAGAGCATAAACAAGATGTTCACAGCTATCAGCTCTTGAAGGGAGCTCATCATTCCTGAATCTTTACCTAGTGAGTCACCTTCTTTGTCACAGGCAAGTCAGGAGTCACCCTGTGTACACACATTCCTTAATGACACCTGGAGATGATAACCTCACAATTCACCAAAACTGTACAGATTGTGATTGTGAAGACAACGGAGTGTGACACCCCTTCGAGAAGCCCACCCCAACCTCTCGGGTGTGCCCCACTCTTTCTCCAAGCGCCTCTTTCTATTAAGCCCTGTTTTTTTTTTAATGTCTTTTTTTTTAAAGATTTTACTTATTATGTATACAACATTCTGCTTCCATGTATATCTGCACACCAGAAGAGGACATCAGATCTCATAACAGATGGTTGTGAGCCACGATGTGGTTGCTGGGAATTGAACTCAGTACCTGTGGAAGAACAGTCAGTGCTCTTAACCTCTGAGCCATCTCTCCAGCCCCCTTAAATGTCTTTTAATAAAACTCCAATCCTGACTCGTCACTGGCTCACCTTGAAATTCTACCTGAGTGAAGGTCTCGACTCTAAAGGATAAAGGAGCTCTCAGGCTGCTGGTCTGTCCCCAAGGCTGCTGCACCTCCATAAGCAGGAGGGGAAAAAAAAAAGTCACGTGACCCAGAGCGGCTGTTCAGCTCCAACAGCGAAGAGTTAACAATGATAATCCAGTGAAATTTACCTTCTCAACAGCGCACCCCAAGACATTTGGGGGGAAGTAACAGGTTCTGGCAAGTGTGCAAAGAGAAAACCCTCCTCTTCTGCCTTTTTCTACTCCCAGGAAGGAACTTATGGTCCATATTCACGGCTGCTGCATGGCGCCCTCTACAGGGCTTTGGGACAAGAAAAACTTCAGAGCAAATGTCAAGATTCCTGTGCCCTGGATCAGACAGGGACACATTCTCCCAATGCACTTCAGTCTTCTCAGAGTTTATTCTGCTCCTTTACTTCCCAGCAGAGGCCCAAACCTAATGTGCCTTTCTCGGAATGATAAAGTGAGCCTGTGAAAAACACAGCTGTTCTGACAGCAGAACAGGCTTCAGATGTAGGGTAAGGAGAGCAGAAGAGAAACAGGTCTGCCTGCTCAAAGTTCATTTTAAGGTAAGAGTTATTTTATTTGCTGTGCGTGCATGCATGCCTCTCTCTCTCTCTCTCTCTCTCTCTCTCTCTCTCGCTCTCTCTCTCTCTCTCTCGCTCTCTCTCTCTCTCTCTCGCTCTCTCTCTCTCTCTCTCGCTCTCTCTCTCTCTCTCTCTGTGTGTGTGTGTGTGTGTGTGTGTGTGTGTGTGTGACAACCATCTGTCACTCCAGCTTCCAATGATCTGATCTGGCACCCTCTTCTGGCCTAACCACATATATGCTATATATGCATGATACACACACACACACATACACTGCGGTGCTGGAACTGAACTGTGGCTCTCTGCAAGGGCAACAAGCACTCTTAATCACTGAGCCATCATTCCGGCCCCCAACGCTATATTATTTTTAATAAGCACATGTTTGGGTATAAGGTCTACCAATTTGGAAAGAAATCTTTCAGAGAAGAGCCAGCGAGATGGCTAAGCAGGTAAAGGTGCCTGATAACTGGAGTTCGATCACGAGAACCCTCATGGTGGAAAGAGAGAAAAGTTTCCAGTAAGTTGTCAGCTGCTTTCAACACACATGCTGTGGCACATGAGCAGAGAGAGAGAGAGAGAGAGAGAGAGAGAGAGAGAGAGAGAGAGAGCTTTCAGAGCAGGTGAACAAAAAAGAAAGATTCCAAAACCATCACTGGCAGAGGCAGCAGCTCCAAGCACAGCTTTCATGCCTGAGAGACCATGCCCACTGAACAGCCCCTGCCTCATGCCGTCTACTTACTATTGAGATCAGCAGAAAGTTCGCTGTGAAGTTGGCAGTTCCTGTTACACACGCTAGGGACCATGGTGAGAGTCTGAATACAGCCGAACAGCGGCTTCTCCCAGTGGTGACAGGTAATGAGAGAAAACTCCACAGTAACAGCCCTGGGGGTACCACAGCTGGCTGCACACTGGCATCACACGGTTGAACGCTAAGAACTTACAGCAAATATAGAGAAACCGGAGCAGTATGGTTCCTGCTGTTTGGGGTAACAGCCAGTCCACACCACACCACATGTCCACACCTGGAATGGCCATATTCACAGAGACAGGAAGTGGATTAGTGGCTGCCGGGCACTGGGGAATGTTTAGAGGGCACAGAGCTTCAGTATGGAGATGGAAATTGGTAACAGTGGCACAATAACGTGAACAGTCGTTTTAAAGGGTTAAACGGGGGTTGCAGAGATGGCTCCATAGTTGGAGCACTAGCTGCTGTTTGGTTTCCAGCACCCAAGTGAGGCAGCTTATAACTGTAACTGTAGCCTGTAACTCCCGATCCAGGGGGTCTGACACCCTCTTCTGGCCTCGTTGAGCACCAGCATTTATGTGTGCATACACACAGACACACAAATACATCGTTAGAAATAATTTTAAGCCGGGTGTGGTGGTGGAGGTGCACACCTTTAATCCCTGCACTCAGGAGGCAGAGGCAGATGGATCTCTGTGAGTTGGAGGTCAGCCTGGTCTACAGAGCAAGTTCCAGGACAGCCAGGCCTATGCAGAGGAACTCTGTCTTGAAAAAACAAACAAACAAACAAACAAAAAGCCCAAAGCCCAGGTTCAATACCAGCACTCCATACAGCAGATAATCTGAGCACTCAGAGGTGGAGCCAGGACGCTCTGGTTCAAGGTTGTTCATCCTAGCTACAGAGAGAGTTTGAGGTCAGCCTGCCCGAGTTGAAAACCTGCCTCAAAATAGCAAAGTCTCAAAATAACAACAACAATAATAGTAATAATAATGTTTGGGGATGGTGGCAAATGCTTGTAATCCCAGCACTCAAAAGGCTGGGGATCAATAAAGTTCAGGGTCAGCCTAGTCTATGTAGTCACTTTCAGACTAACCAGGGCTACATGAGGCCCTATCTTAAAAAAAAAAAATTAAAATAGTGCATACATAATTTTAGTTTTAAAGTTCATGATCTCTGGGAAATCCACCCAAAGGTTCATCTTGGAACCTTTCTGCAACTATCATACTTGGGTGGCAATGAGGGCGGGGGATGCCCATGTGTGGGTGTGGAGAAGCCAGAGGATGATGGAGACCTTCCTCTCTCGGTTGCTACTTTATTACTCTGAGACATGCTCTCTCTGTGCTTCATGACTACTGGGACTGCAGGTGGATCCACACTCCCCGACTTTTATGTACATTCTGGAGATCTAAATTCTGCTCCTCACACGTTTACAGCAAGTGATTTATCCACTGGCCGGCCTCCCTGAGCCCTGCCATTTTCCTCTTCCAGCTAAGCTGGCAGCCAGCAAACCCTAATGATCCTCCTGTCTCTGAGTCACAGACACACAGCTGTGCCCTGCTTTTTATGTGGGCACTGGAAGTCTTCACTCTGGTCCTCATGCCTAGGCAGCAAGCACTTTACCAATTACGCCATCTTCCCAACCCTGCTGGAAGTGTTTGCAGGACAGAGAAAGAAATACGGAAATGAGGAGGGGAACTAAACACTAAGAAGTAAGAGAAACTGAATGTGTATGGAGATACATAGAGGAGACAGGCAGGGCTTGGCACCTCAGGACCAGGTGGACCATGCTGCGGATTGAATTTTCCTATGAACATCAGGAAGCAAGTTTATAGGTTTTGTGGGGGGGAAGCAAAAATTCAAGTACTGGGTGTAACATACTAAATATTGGAGGCTCAGTATACTTACTGTGTCAAAGAGGGCAGTGTCATTCACTGAGAATAAACTGCAGGGTTTCTCAGGCACACAAGTTACATTTTCACTTTGGCCATATTCAAGGGTTTTCATCTCAGTATGTTATTTACTCTGTTGTAATATAAATTTTCTAATCTTCTAACAAAGTTTTGCCTGAAAAACAATTCTGACAAGTCTTTTCTTATTGAAAGTC